GGTGACAACAGGGAATAGCTTCATCTTGTGTTGCTTGATCAGAAAAATAATCAACTCTGCATGAGTTCATGAAGTTCAGAGGCTTGAGAGAGCCTCACAAAAAGCTGCACGAATGTGATCGTATATCAGGCCGAAATTTCAAGCACTTGTAAAGAATTATTTACAACGTGCCTCATTCATTAGATTCGGCAAAAAAATTCAAGCGGCAAACAGACAGGATCGCGTAAATTTTGTCCACTAGAGATGGTGGAATAGATGGCTACAACTGGTAATTTGTCGCTCAAAAATGGTTAAATTTAGCCCCTTATATGCGATAAAACGAGGTATATATTGTTAAGTAGTGTGTTTAATCACTCGACACGGAATCAAGTTCAGAGTATCTTCGAGTTATATCCAAGCCTAAAAAGTAGCTAACGTACCTGAGCAGCAAGAGGGGGCACTCGAAGACGCTTCATAGCCTTTTGACGGTTTCCGCCTTCAAGTTTTGTAAATGTTTCCTACATGATTATAAATAATAAAAGCAAGTCTAGAAAAACGTTTAGATAGTCCTATCGAGACACGGCAAACTTTGTATACTTAGGACCCATTAAAATGCTCGTACATTTATATACACGTGTGTTCAAAATATAGTTAAACAAAAAGAAAATGGTCTGTTCGGTTGAAAATGGTGCTTATTACGCCCTGAAATTAGCCTTCATTGGACATGCTCCACCACTTCAACTGTACTTCCACCCACCTTTATCGAAAGGGAACCACCGTACTAACAAAGACAACTAAGTGAAAGAATGAAAGGAAGTGAGGAAGTTCTATATCCTGCCGCCTCTTATCGACTAGGTAGGGTTTTGACCTTAAACTGGAAATGAAACCAAATGTTGCAAACAGCGGCTTACATAGATCGAAATGGCTTTTTTCACTTCAGTGATGGCTATATACTTTTTGGCGAATGCTACAGTTAATCTCAAATTTGTTACGATTCGTTTCAAAACTGATGGGATGGTATTGATAGTTTATCCTGACGGAGAAAAATATGTAGGACATCTAAGTGCACTGTGGCAAAAAGTTTGGGGTCATGTCCGATAATTACGGAAATCGCAAAAACTTGCAACAATTCACCGGCAAACATGTCTTGTTCTAAGTCACCAAATAACATGATAAATAGTATTGATTTGTTGAATCTCATATCCATTTGGTACAAGTGAAAGGGAACAAAAACGGGCTTATAATCCGCAAGGGAATTGCAAGGCCTTATGCCTTCAGAATCGGTCGATACAGCCAGTACTGCGTGGTTAAAACAGTCAACCATATTGTTCTCACATATGGAGAAATTGTTGAGCTGAGGACAGATAACTATAAAATTAACAACTACCAAAAAACAGGCAACAAAACTAGTGAGGATGGGTGGGGAAGAGTCACTTATCATTGATGTGCGCATTTAAAAAGTCGGTCCAACGAATTAATAAAAGCAGTGCGAATTGCAGGGTTCCAGCATGTAGTTTATTTTTAGAACTTACAGTCCATACACAATTGTAAACATGAATTGAAATTTAAACAACCTTTCTAGAATTACCTCAACTTCAGCTATCATTGCATCCACCGAATCATCCACATGAAATGGTTCTTCAGATACCGTATCTCTATACCATTCCAAACCGTTTGAACGTTGAAATAACTGCAAAAGTAACCCAAAAGTTTGTTTTACTTTAAAATTTTAAGGGCTTTAAATAAATAAATAACTCACTTTGTCGTGCTTCTTAAGGATCTTTCTAAAACCGGTATAATTGAGGCTTTGGTAATTCTGAAGAAGCACTAAGCTTAAGTAGAACTCGCTTAAGGCGAGTTTAAGGTCATAAGTCTTAAGCCGAGGTGTCTCTTCATTCTGACCAACTTGTCGAGATGGGTGATTGAATCGCTTTTCCTCCTTTTTAAGTCGGAAGGTATTTCTGCGTCGTCGCAGCATGTCCATATCATTAATGCGATGAACTGGACTCTGTGCGCATTCTGGTGTTCCCTCAGCAGTCCGATATACACTGATATCTTGTGCAGATTCCTCATCAACAACTGCCGCAGGGCTATTTAAATAAAGCGAAGCGATCGGAGCCCGACGCTTTGTCGAAAAATGCCGGTCGCATTCGTCTTTCAGCGCCGCAAATTTTCGCTTCGATTCAGCCAACTTTTCTTTAAACCAGCTTTATGAAACAGTTTCACATACCTGCAAAGAAATTGTTAATCTTATCCAGTTCAGCTTGACACATAGCGAGGAACACAGTGTCACATTCATCGAAGTGCTTACTAACCGTAACAGCATCAACGACTAAGCAAAAGAATCAATTTTAATGAAAAATACCTGGTAATTCTTCGAAATCATCCAAGGCTTTGTAAAGAATTTCCTTAAGTGCCTGAAATTCGCAAACTATGGGAAATAAAGTCTCACTTCATATTCGATGTATTGCTTTCGCCACTCAGGTGTAAGATGAGCAGATAAGTGTTCCGCAAACTTCATCTGTTATTGCAAAGAATTTAGTTCGATGTATGAGACGTCAACTTTGAAAAAGATTTGTCAGTGTCATTCAACAAAAGGAACGAGGAGAGTAATTACGCGCTAACCTCTGCACATGCATGCAACTATCTCCAATACACCGTAAATGGACATTTAAACCAATAAGGAAAGGGATTTAAGGTCAAAGGTGATTGAAAGCAAAATATTTGACAAGAATAAAGAAATACGATACATCGAATTTATAAAGTAATTATACGTCTTTTCTAATGTAAATCAATTAAAAATCTAAAACTCACACTTTATCTTGTGCAGATTTAGTGTTTAATTTTATGATGAACTTACTATGTAGGACTATTTACCGCTGCTGTACGAGGTCCGAACGCACTTTCATCCGCTTTCCCAGTGCTTGTATTATTGTATAACTAGAAATTGGTTAAGATTGTACTTTTTTGAGAGCGGCGGGCCGTCAATGCAAATTCTGTGTTATAGGGGCGCGAAGACCGTTCTCCGAACTAGCTCCATTACTGCTCTCACCGCCTTAAGATTTTGCCAAGACTGTTCTTTTTAGAGATGTTTAATAAGTATGGGGCAAAGGTTCTAGAAAGCTAGTGGCATTACATACTTACGAGTTGTACTCTCGACTTGACGTAGTCAATTTGGTGTTAGCAATTATACAGGCTGTTCCCAACCACATCGTTTTTAGCATCATAATCGCGTGGAAGCAATAGTGTACGAGAATATGGAGAGGTCGGACATCAGTTCGTCCCTCATGACTTACAATTTTGGAGAACACAACAGATTTAATCAATGCATTCTTCAAGGCAAATTAGGTTTTTTTGAGGTGCTTTATAGTCGCAGGCTTGAGAGTGGGCGTAAACAATGAAAAGGGATTTCTGGACATTCTTTCTGTTCTTTCATATAAGTTAATCCTCGTGTGCTCATAAACAAGGGCCTCACAAGACTTCGATAGAGGCGGGCGCTGCAAGGCGTTGGCTTAGCCTATCGTTAACAATGAAGAGTAGGTCCTTGGTCATCCTTACATAAACCTAATGATGATGTGCGAGATGTGTAAAAGTCTTTGCAACCTAACGGAACGCACTTTTTGAGTCTCTCTGAGCAAAATAGTCTATAACTCGACAGCCATACAGTATAGGCGGTGATCTCATGTTGTTAAAACTAATAAATTAACCAGAATGTTCTAGATGTCCATAGACTGGCTTTCATGGCGTTTTTAATGGAACAAACACATTTGAGTAAGTGGCAGATAAAAATAACTTGCATGTAGCTTTCTTGTTGACTCGAGAGAATTTATAGAATTACTTAACCCACAAGCCTTGCTGAGAGAATTATTTTGCATAAAGGAGATAGCAGTTAACAAAATCTTCCACAGGAAATGAGATTCGTAACGCAGAGTTCAATGCCTTTGGATGCTGATAAATTTGTAATATTTTTTGTTCAGTTCCAGCGTGAGGCAGGAGCTACCCAAGACCACATAATAGACCTTAAACCACTAAACAAAGTACCAAAGTCCGTTGTATTTCCATTTAATGCAAAGGTTTTACGGGTCCACAGCGTCTTTTTTTCCTTAGACAAATTTGCATAGCGATATTGCATTGGTAGATTATCGTTTAATGGCATTTGAAATCAGCAGCTTCGACTGCTTAGTCGGAAGCCCAATCAAATTTGCAATACCAAAACTTACCCTTTAAGAAGCAAAAAAACTGTGTAGTCACTGTTTGCGATGTGGAATCACTCGTTAACTTTCTAACAATTATGTCTCTGATAGGACACATCTCAACGCCGTAGCCGACTTGAGATTCCTCTCAAAAAGGCTTTCAGAAGAGGCTATTCCTAGAACATGTTTATTTGGCAATTCTGAGATTTGAATCGGGCAAAATTTGGGTGGGAGAGGGATTCAGTTATTGGAAGCAGACGTCTCCCACACCAACACCTGGAGTACAACGTGCGATCTGAGTTCCCACCATTCATCTATAAAAAGTCGTTTTACAAATCATCTTTTTGGAGGCTCCATAGTGTCTTTACATTCGAAACTTCTTAGTCAAGTACGTAGCAATGCGTTTTAAATCCTTGTCTTGAAAACAGGCTCACCTCTCATATATATGCCCCCACATTGAGGACTCTTGTTGGCTATTTTTGGATTTTTGCATTAATTGATTAATCAAGCTTTGATTTTGATCTGTTTTTTTAAGTTGAAAACCATGACCTTAAAGTCTTTTACGTAATCACATCAGAGTGCTTTCAATTTGCGCTGTGTTTAGTGAACTGGTATATGTTGCTGTGTGCATTCAATACATCTTTGTAATCCAGTGATGTTTTGATCA